ATAAGTGTAATCAGGGGAAACACACACACACACACACACACAGACAGACACAGAGACACAAGAACACATACACAGAGACATGAGGAAGCTAACGGGATGTTACAGTTTCAGTGCTGTGCTGTGAGCGGAAATCGGATTGAAATGGTTCGAACATATTGTCAAAAAAGAGGGTTGAGATCCCAGGAAAGCTGCCTTAAATGAAGGAATACAGTTCGATATGAAAGTAGGATAAAGGGACACAAAGCATATAATGAGTAAGGATAAAATCACAGTAATCATTTTAAAGCAAGTATGTATAACATAAGAATAATGAAGTGATTTAACAAATGTAAACTGATAATAATAATGTATGTATAACTGAGTAAAAAGTAAAGTCTGTGTGTGGGTGGAAAGAGCTGATGTAAGCAGGGTGGGGACCTTAAAGGATGAGATCATAACAGAAGTTGGGGTGATGTCCGAACATGTCCACGGGTGTAACCTGAAACACGCTCGAAAATGAAGGAAGCGAGAGTATCCACACACAGAAAGTTAGGGTGTTGTTCGCAGCACACACACACATAATCAATGATGTCATGTAAATCACATGCCGAGGGAGGGAGTGTTGGGGAGGAGGGAGGAGAGAGAGCTCCAAGATTATAAAAAGAAAGACTTGCAGATAGCAAGATGGGATTCAACACGGGAGCCACCCAAGTGCTCCATGGAGAAAACACTGGACCTCGCTCAACAACCGCATCGGAGGACTTCGTCTCTGTTCATGGAAAGAAGACAGCCGTTCCAGGACAAAGATTGAAAGACGGAGATTTTCCTCTCCCCCCTGTTTGACTTTAACAACCGGACAACAGATGGACGCAGCCGCCCTAAAGACTTTGTACTGAGTCTGAGAGAGCGCTGAACGGACTTCGTTGGCCTCGCAGGAGGAGCTGAAGGTTCGGCCGGACCTTCAGCTCCTGAAAACCCCAAAAGGACTTTTTATTACATCGTGAATCCAGCTCCACCGAGCCGCCTCGGCATCGACAATTAATGAGTATAACCTGAGAAGAAATTGTATCCTGATTGAATCAAGTATCGTATTATTTTATGAGAGCTGTAGCTGTGCCCCTGCTAATATATCCTGCAATAAATATCTAATCTGCATTTAAAGTAAAGTTCTTAACACTTAACAGTCCCTTACGGTTTTAGTTGTAATCCTAGCCGTTAAAACCTAACCTGGCAATTTACCAAGAGCCCGGATCCAAAAGAGGAAAGCTGCCATAACTGACGCGACTAGGTAGAAGCGCTTGGCCTAGGTGGCCCCTTGGCCGAGTGCATGTTACCAGTGGAAGCAGGGTAGACGTCAGGAGTAACGGTAGTTAGCAGAAGCCAGGCGAGTTTCCTCGACAGAACACCAGCTCGCCAATCTTTTAATAGAGAGCTGAGTCAGTAGGGCGCCATGTGTTAGATCCGGGGGTTCTCTGGCCCGATACGGGGCTGCCTACTGACTCAGCTCTCTATTAAATCCCAAAACAACAGGATCAGGGAGGTCAACCTCGTGTTCAAACTCACAGTAGAGGACTTTGACTATGTCATCTTTGCAAAGACTGATAACTTTAAATGTTTCAGTTGTGGTAAAGAAGGACATCTGAGTAGAGCTTGTCCTGAGAAAAACAGTTCAAATAAAGACCAGAAAGGTACCGAGGAGGGCAGAGGGGACAAGCAGGAGGGACAGGAGGGGACAAGTGGGGCACAGGAGGCGAGGGTGGAGGAGACAAGTGTGGCCCAGGAGGTGAGGGTGGAGGAGACGGGTGGGGCCCAGGAGGTGAGGGTGGAGGAGATGGGTGGGGCCCAGGAGGTGAGGGTGGAGGAGACAGGTGGGGCTCAGGAGGTGAGGGTGGAGGAGACGGGTGGGGCCCAGGAGGTGAGGGTGGAGGAGACGGGTGGGGCCCAGGAGGTGAGGGGGGAGGAAACAAGTGGGGTACAGGAGGTGAGAGAAGAGAGGACAAGTGGGGGACAAGAGGTGAGGAAGGACGGGGCAAGTGAGGTTCAGAAGGTGAGGGAGAGTACTAGAGGACAGGTGGAGACAGGTAGGGAGGTGGACATGGAAGCAGACGAGGAGCAGCTCAAAGCCCCTCAGCTGAAGAGGAAACAGAGAGGAGACAGCGGAAGCTCACAGGCAAAGAAAGCAGCAATGAAAGAAAGTGGAGGAGCGGCAGAGTGTGAGTCCAGTCTGGAGGAAGACTCTGAGTCCAGTTGCGAGGAGGACGCTGCTACTGACAGTGAGCCCTCTAAACACGGTGCTGGCAGCTGTAGGAGCTCTGGAGACTACAGCGTGGTGAAAATAAAGGAGTTTCTGAAGAGGAGTAAGAATGTGAGAGGAGCCAAAGTGGAGGACTACCTCTCTGACAAAGAGAAGCTCTCCAGCTCTGCCAGAGCTCACATGAGAAGCAAGGACAGAGGAGGTCTCACGAAGATAGTTCACAAAGTGAACAAAGAACTGGACAAAGATGGTGCTAAGTGAGAGTCAGATCTCACAGTCTAAAGACAATCAAAGACACATTTATGTTTGTTGGACTTTATTTGGTTAATCGTTTTAAATGATAAAGAAACATGTTCAAAGAAAATAAAGGTTTTCTAAAAATCCAAAATCTCTCTCTCTCTCTCTCTCTCTCTCTCTCTCTCTCTCTCAATTCAATTCAATTCAATTCAATTACAATTTTGCTTTATTGGCATGAAAGTTTAAAAAACAGTATTGCCAAAGCATCAGAAGATTAAACATACAATAACATCAACACACAACAATATCAATATAACAATAATATTAATACATCATCTCAAAAGTGGTCTGAGACAGAGCCCCCATTGCTCCCACGTTACCTGTAGGCCACCGCAGCTCTCTGACACTGAAGCAAAGGGAGGAGCGAAGTGAGAGAGAGATCCATGGATAGATAGATCTCTCTCCCTCTCTCTCTCTCCCAATTCAACCCAAACTCAGATCTGCTCCATTGGCATGAACGCCCAGGAACGGCATCGCCAAAGCGTCAACTACTGTCCCTCAGGTTGTAGCCAATACGCACTGGGCAGCAAGGTACGCCCTATCTCCTTCTCCTAGGAGGAGTTTTCATTTTGAGATATCACTCGATTTTTTTAAAATCTGAAATCACAGAGTCAAATTTGTTTCAGTAGATGTTCCTAATTTTATGGAATGTTTTGCATTTTAGGAGGAAGTGCATCTCCGTCTCAGCCTCACCGGTCCCACAGTGACCACATGTTCTGTTGTCTCTTGGTTGCCATGACTTTTTGTGTCGTCCTGTTTCAATCTCCAGTTTGTGGTCACTGAGCCTGTACTTGGTAAGGTTCTGTCTCTGCTTTATGTCTCTGACTGTAGAGAGGTACTCTGCCAATTCATAGTCTCTTTCTAGGGCCAGATAACATTCCAGTCTGCTTTGGCCCCCAGTTTCCTCTCTCCAGTGCTCCAGATAGGCTTCTTTACATCTCGCCATGATGTGTTTTACTCTGGTTGGTGTTTGGAGAGCCGTGTTGTTGAGAGACTGGTCCCCGTGTGTCTGAGAGGAGGCAGTTAGTCTCAGCACCAGCTGACATAGGGGACTCTTCTCTGGGCTCAGCTCTTGGCTTTGGAGGGCTTTGGAGTGGAGGGTGTCTGGGGGGCTGGATTTAAAGTGATTGAAGAATGTGAGTGCTCTCTTTTGAATGTTAATGATCAGTGGGTATCGGCCTAGTTCTGCTCTACATGCATTTGTTGGGGTGTTTCTGTGTAAAATGTGTCTGCAGAATTCTGCGTGTAGAGACTCTGTTGGATGTTTGTCCCAGCGGGTATAACTGTGATGACTGAGTGGACCCATACTTCACTACCATACAGCACAATGGGCTGGATGACACTGTTCAAGATTTTAAGCCAGATTTTAATTGGGATTTGAAAATTATAATTTTGTAAAGTGGCAACGACAGGAAGTATAGGAGCAGCTGAGTGTGAGACCAGTCTGGAGGAGGACTCTGAGTCCAGTCTGGAGAAGGACGCTGCTGCTGAAAGTGAGCCCTCTGAATACAGGGCTGGCAGCTGTAGGAGCTCTGAAGGCTACAGTGTGGAGGAGATATAAGATTATCTGATGAAGAGTAAAAATGTAAGAGGAGCTAAAGTAGAGGACTACATCTCTGACAAAGAGAAGCTCTTAAACTCTGTCAGAGCACACATGAGCAGTAAAGACAGAGGAGGTCTCACAGAGCAGGAAGGCTTCAGACTGAAAAAAATAGTTCAGATATTAAAGAAAGAGCTGAACAATGATGGAGCTAAGGGAGAATAAGAGACCGGAGCCCACATGCTCACACTGGCTGCTTCAGGAACCGCTGGTGAACGGAGCCAGGATGGACATCCAGGGTGGCACGACTCCAGGTCTGAGCAGCATGCTGTGCTCCTCTGGGACCACCACCCCGAGGACACTGGTGGAGGTAGATGTTCCTGGACTGAGAGACGCACCTGCAGTGGCTTCTCTACTCGGGCTGAAGTCCATCCGGCAGAGCAGGAGGATCCTGAGCAGGTTGGCGGAGAGACTGACGGTGGACGAGGTCGAGATGCTGAAGGAGGACAACAGAGGAGAGGAAGCTTCTGATTCTACAGATCTATTTCCAGATCTAGGATTTATTGCAGAGCTGAATGGGGTCTCAGGACCATCATTCAGTGAAACAGAGTCTAAAGAGCCTGAACATGAACAAAAACATGAACAACATGGACTAATATTCAATGCTCCTTGAAAATATGATGAAGAGAATCTGTTTTGATTGTTTTTTTGTTTTGTTTTGTTGATTTGGGTTGAATTTATTGCCTTGGCAATGTTTTTTTCATGTTTTAAGAAAATAAAGGTTTCTAAAAAATCAAAAAATCTGTCTCTCTCTCTCTCTCTCTGTCTCTGTCTCTTTCTCTCTCTCTCTCTCTCTCTCTCTCTCTCTCTCTCTCTCTCTCTCTCTCTCTCTCTTAGGATAAGTCGGTGTCTCTCGCCCGGCTGCACAGCAGATGGTTGGTGTTGCCGTGACAGTCTTTAAAGGAATATATAAAGTCTCTTTACATTATCGTCTTCTGGACTCTGGAGACAGTGAGGTAACGTTATTGATTATTTATATCAGTGATCAATAAGTGATCATATATTTATTTCTAAATTCATTTTATTCATAGAAACCTTTCAGTAATAGGAATAAGTATTACTTAGTGTTAAGTATTAATAATAGAAATGTCCTTCATGTTGGATTTAAAGAGCAGAATGATCAAATAATGTCCTGAAGTGATTGAAAGCTCCAGAACAGCCATTAAAGGGACCTTATGTTGAAATCTTATGAAGTCAAAAATTAACTTTACTCAGTTTTTTAATTAATTTAAAGTATTTCAGATTTTCAACAGATAACTTGTAAATATATCAATGAAACATGAATTGAACAGATTGTTACTAATTATAAGGATCTGATATTATTTATATATTTTACAGTATCTATTAATATAATCGTTTTTATCAGATAACCGACATGTGAAGCATTAAAGTGATCTATCATCTATGATCTGTGTTCTCACATCTTATGTTTGAAACATAAATACAATTTAAAAATATCATCAGATAGAAAACTATTTATATTATTGTGACAAAAGATAAGTGATCAGGTTAAACTGTGAGGCTGTGACGCAGTGACCCTTTGAGGAATCAGTCAAATTCAATTGAATCTGACAGAAACAGAGGCTCAGAGACTCAGGTCAGCTTCAACAAGTCTTTAACAAGTCTTTACTGACACATGTTTTAGAACAAGTCTTTACTAACAAGTCTTTACTGACACATGTTTTATAACAAGTCTTTACTAACAAGTCTTTACTGACACATGTTTTATAACAAGTCTTTACTAACAAGTCTTTTCTGATATGTTTTACAAGTCTTTACTAACAAGTCTTTACTGACACATTTTATAACAAGTCTTTACTAACAAGTCTTTACTGACACATTTTATAACAAGTCTTTACTAACAAGTCTTTACTAACAAGTCTTTTCTGACACGTTTTATAACAAGTCTTTACTAACAAGTCTTTACTGACATATTTTAGAACAAGTCTTGACTAACAAGTCTTTACTGACATGTTTTAGAACAAGTCTTTACTAACAAGTCTTTTCTGACACAAGTTTTAGAACAAGTCTTTACTAACAAGTCTTTACTGACATGTTTTATAACAAGTCTTTACTAACAAGTCTTTACCGACATGTTTTAGAACAAATCTTTACTAACAAGTCTTTACTGACACATGTTTTATAACAAGTCTTTACTAACAAGTCTTTAACAACAAGTATTTATTGGTCTGTTCTAAATGTCACAGATAGGGTTCTATGTTGTTTAAATGGTTCCAGAGATGCATAAATAGCTTGTAAATCTACAGCAGAGTTTTTGGTGTAATCTCGGAGGTTCTAAAGGTCTACAAAATGGTGCATGATAGGGTCTCCTTGAGGAGGTTTTAAGGATCCTTCATCAGGTTTTGTGTGAAATCAGTCATTCAGTGATCAGATTTAGAGATCCAGGACTAGAGATGAATATTCACAGTGATTAAATGAATGATTAGACAACAGAGATAAAACCTTTAACAACTACAGCTCCCATGCGTCTTTGCAGCAGCAGTGTCCTCAGACTCCTGCAGGTGGACTCACTGAGGTGTGTTTGTGTTTCAGGATGATGCTGAACGACAGGTGGACCATCATGAACAACAGCAGCTCAGAACTCGGCAGCAAACAACCAAACAAACACAAGGTAGCTGCTACATTAGCCGTTAGCCTGTTAGTTAGCCTATCAGACCATGCCCACGATGAGCTCATAGTCCCCTATCATCCACCATCACCTCTCAGGTAACAAGACAGACAGAGAGACAGAGAGACAGACAGGACAGTAACAGAACTACAGTGACTTAAATCCTGTTAATCTGGAGTCTCTAATCTGCAGCAGCTGTCGCCTTCACTGAAATCTTCTGAGGATCTTCAGATTAAACTCACAGAGACAAGATTTACACTGCAGGAGACATGTTACCCCACTACACCCCCATAACCTCCCCCATTAGACCACTACACCCCCACAACCTCCCCCTCAAAACCACAACCTCCTTCACAACAACCCCCATACTTTTCCACCATGTTCAGATTAATGTTATAGTTCCCTGATGTTCGTCTTAAAGGATGAAGGAGGAAGGAAACCTGAGCTCATCACTTTGAGTCCAGCAGGAAGACCAGCGTGACCTCATCAGGTCTACTGAAACACCAACCAGACCAGCTGGTTCATTTATCCAGAGACGCACAAACCAGAAGCCGACTTATATTTAAATCTGGTCCTCCAGCCAGAACAAACCAGAACCAGGACTCACAGAGGGGGGTCCCACCTCTGTAACAGTTGGAGGATCCAATGGGGGAGTCAGGGCTGTCCCCTGGGATCAGACCCCCGAGATCAGAGCCCCGAGATCAGAACCCCGAGATCAGAACCCCGATGTCAGAACCCCAGGTTCTGGGTTCTGGGGCTGGCCGTGTTCAAGTACTAACTTAAAGTCCGCTCTCCTCCCGGCGACGTAGTCTCCCCGTGGTGGAGAGGACGAGGTGAAGGTCTTGTTGGACTCTCCTGAGGACAGACTGGACACCACAGTGACTCACTATCGCCTCTCCAGGACACAACTGGTACTACAGGCTAGCTGCTAGCTGCTAGCTGTTAGCATGCGAACATCAGTAGAGACAATGTGACCTCCTCACATCCTGGTGATGAAGATGAAGATTTAAAACTTAATTTCTGAACCACATCTTAAAAAACCTTTGTGTGTGTATGTGTGTGTGTGTGTGTGTGTTTATATGTGTGTTTATATATGTGTGTGTGTTTATATGTGTGTGTGTGTGTGTGTGTGTATGTGTGTGTGTGTTTATATGTGTGTGTGTGTGTTTATCTGCATGTGTGTGTGTGTGTGTGTTTGTGTATATATGTGTGTGTGTGTGTGTTTGTGTATATGTGTGTGTGGGGGTGTGTGTGTTTATATGTGTGTGTGTGTGTGTGTGTGTGTTTATATGTGTGTGTGTGTGTGTGTGTGTTTACATGTGTATGTGTGTGTGTGTGTGTTTGTTTGTGTTTATATGTATGTGTGTGTGTGTGTGTGTGTGTGTGTGTTTATATGTGTGTTCAGAGATGCTGCAGCTTCCTGTTCTGGTGTGTCGTCACGCTGGTCGTCATAGCAGTTGTCGTCACAGCAACAGTCATCATCCTGTATCTGATCCAGTATCCTCTGCCCTTCATCAACAGGTAAACACACCTGTCTGTGTGTCTGTCTGTCTGTGTCTGACCTACCTGTCTCTCTATCTCTCTGTCTGTCTGTCTGACCTACCTGTCTATCTGTTGTCATGGTAACAGGGGCCGAGTCTCCTCCCCCACTTCACCTGTGATCTCAACCAATCACAAAGAGTCTGGCGCCCTGGTGTCAGTCTCCCGGGTCACAGACGGAGAGCCAATCAGCATCTTCCTGGACCCCAACTGTCCGGATTACAGTGAGAGCTTCCTGCGCTGGGAGGCTCTGCAGACGTCTTTGCTCAGAGCGCTGTCCAATCACAAGGCAGAGGACTGGCAGGACACGGGATTGGACCACAAGTTGGCTGAGGAGCTGAAGGTGTTATCAGGCCACGCCCACAATCTGAGGCTGGAATCTGATTTGCTGAAAAGAGGTCAAGGTGTTCTGGACCAGCGACTGGATGGACTGCAGAGCGAGCAGAGCCGGATCATACAGGTAATTATGTAATAATAACAAATACATAAACTAACATCGATACTTTCAGACAGAAATACAACTAAATACACGTTTAGTTTATTTTGACTGTTTGCTTCTGAAGATCAAACGTTAGCTTTAGAAAATGATTCATCTTCACATTTAAACATCATTCAAAAAGAATGTAAGGAATCAAATGGTGATTTATATTTTACCCTATTCCATGTACATACACACATACATACAAATATACATATGTACATATATACAAATATACAATACATACATATACACATACATACAAATATACATATGTACATATATACAAATATATATACATATACACATACATACAAATATACATATGTACATATATACAAATATACAATATATACATACTAGTGCTGGGCAACGATTAAAATATTTAATCGCGATTAATCGCATGGATTTTTTGCGATTAATCGCGATTAATCTCATTGTTATGGCAAAGTTCAACAATGAATTCAAAAGTAGTGTATTGCGCACTTTTATTTTAAAAGTACTGCTATATGAACAAAAGGGCAATAACATTTGGTTCACGAGATGCAGGTAGCATGTTTTATACTTAATGTGAATATAATTCATACTTTGTTGGCATCTTATTCTGAAAACCGGATGTTCGTCTGAAGAAACCGGATGTTGTCTCACGTTAATGTTACCGGCACCAGACCTAGGGGAAATCTGGACCGGCAGCAAAGGTTACACAGGCTAGGAAGCACTGTGTAGCCAACTGATCTAACTGTGGATTAATACAGAGAGAGGACCAACGTTAGCGTCATGCTCAGGCCAGAGCTAGTTTTATTCTGAGCTGCCTTGCAGATCATAACATTTCACAATTTACACAACACGGTGTGAACAAATTCAAATGAATCCAAATATATTCCACATCCAGTTCTACTAACATTTAAAAGCTACGGTGTAACACTGAAGTTCACGGACAGAACTAGCTAGGTAGCATTACAACGTTCGTCAGAACAACTAGCTACAAAATATAGCTAACTACCTTCATCACACATCTCCAATCATGTTACAACATTACACAACATTTAACTGCATTTACATTCGATCATAACTCATGTTACAGACAGAAGACACGTTTTGCCTACCTGTGGATTAATACAGAGAGAGGACCAACGTTAGCGTCATGCTCAGGCCAGAGCTAGTTTTATTCTGAGCTGCGCATGAGCGGAGCATGTAGCTACGTTCTCTCTAATGGATCCACAGCAGCACCAAAGCGCCATCTACTGACGTGATCGTGTATTACCTCGATATAAAGTCTGAAGAGTGTTAGAATAGTTCAATTATTAACAAAGAAAGTGTGGGGGGGTCTGTTTTAATAAAAAACTAACATGTAGCATTTCCAACCTACTACATTAATCTTTCCGCTAACTTTCAAAGTCCTTCGCTCGCTCCCGATCTGTGCCGTTTAAATGCGTTTACCTTGAATTTCAGCATATAGGTGCACTAAAATTACTGACTATAGGATGTTTGCTGGCTTTTATCCCACTGTTCTTGTCATCCTCTTGTTGTTATGTATATGTATTGTCTCTTGTCTTTCAATAAAAAAAAATTAAAAAAATCATAATAAATTAAAAAATGCGTTAACGCGCGATAAAATAATTGTTGGCGTTAATTAATGAATGCGTTAACGCGAAATTAACGCGTTAACTTGCCCACTAATACATACATATATTTAAAGGCTGATTAAAGACAGAAAGTTGAAGAAAATAAATGACAACAAAACTAGAAAACAAAATCGAAATAAAATAAACAACTAAAAACACATTTACAGAATTTACAGAATTAGGGTTTGCCTGGCGAGGCTGATGCGTGTCTGAGCGTAACTCTCACGAGACGGTGCGAGACCCAAGATGGCGGCCCCCAGCTGCTAGAATACTATCGAAACAAACTTTCTCATCGGACTTAAAACTCTTTCTTTTCCCCGTCACCCATTATCTATTTCAATCAAAACTGGACTACAATATCAATCGAACTGGATCATCTGGAGGAATATATTGACGAGTGCTTCAACCGAATCTACATCATGGAAGAGGACAAGACCGGCGACACCGAAGAAACACCCATTTCATACAGCAAAAGACCCCGTCCTGATTCACACTTCAGCACAGGTACAACTCCATCCACCTCACCAAAACCTCCATGCTGCTCCGAGGTAAGCGACATACTCATGTCCATTGAAAATAAACTTTCCGGCTTTGACTCCAGACTCTCGCTCATCGAAGTCCTACACCAGGAATTCCAGGCTCTGCGCCACAGCCTGGAATTCAGTCAGAACCAAATCGACACACTCACTCAAGACAACAAGTCACTTCATCATTCTGTCAAAACGATAACCACCCAGCTCACCTCTGTTACTGCCGACAACAAAGCTATGAAAGAAACCATCCTGGATTTACAAGCACGCAGTATGAGAGACAATCTAGTTTTCACCGGCATTAGCGAACAAACCACAGAAGACCCCGAAAAATCAATCAAAGAATTCATGTCCAAACAACTCAAACTACTCTCAGAGACCGTCAACAACATCACATTCCATCGCGTACACCGTCTGGGACCAAGGAACAACAATAACCGACCACGGCCAATCATCGCTAAGTTTGAACACTACAAACAAAAAGATCAGGTCAGACAACAAGGCAGGCAGCTCAAAGGAACGGACTATGGACTCAACGATCAATATCCCAAAGAAATCATGCAACGACGCAAAGTTTTGTTTCCAATCCGTAAACACATGATGAAAGAAGGAAAGAAAGCAATAATATCACTGGACAAACTATACATAGATGGACAATTGTACCGCGATAAGGACGTCACCCCCTGGCTTTTCTAGACCCCCCCACACACTCTCTCTATTTCTCTCTTTCTCTCTCTCTCTCTCTCTCTCTCTCTCTCTCTCTCTCTCTTTCTCTCTCTCTCTCGCCCCTACGGCTCCGCATACACACACACACATCCACACATGATAACCCCCCTCCGTAGTTTAGGTATGCCCCTTCTCTTTTCTCCGCATTGCACTGTTTCGATTATTATACTGTATAGTATTGCACCTACATCTCAATGTGCCAGACAGTATGAAACCCTATCTGGACCACACACTCCTTTGTATTTTTGTTTTGTGTATTGTTTTACTTACTTTGTTGTGTTCATGTTCCTATATGTGTTTGTTTCTCCCTGATACAGTGTCTGAAGGTCCTGCTGTGATATTTACACACTCTCTGTCACACGCACACACACACACACTTATCAACATTAATGTTCAGTCTATATTAACCCAGTCAACATGTCATCTATCAAATTCTTAACCTGGAATATCCGTGGAATTGGTTCTCAGGCAAACAAAAATAAAAGTTTTGAATCATCTGGCTAAACTGCAAGCAGATATATGCTTAATACAAGAAACACACCTCTCAGAATCAGACCACAACAAATTTAAATCACCACAATTCACTCACTCATTCTCGGCTCACTATAACACAAAACAAAGAGGGGTATGTATTTTAATTAACAAAAAAGTTTCTTTTGTCCATAACTCCACCATCACCGATCCTGAAGGCCGTTTTATCATTATAAACATATCCATCAACAATAGTCCAGTCACAATCTGTAATGTTTATGGCCCAAACACTGATGACCCATCCTTTTTTCATAATTTTTTTTCATCCTTCGCAAACATTTGTAACTGCCCAGTCATAATAGGAGGCAATTTCAACACAGTTATCGACCCATCAGTAGACGGATCTAAAAATCCAAATAATAAGCGTACCTGGCAATCCACAGACACGATAAAACAGTTCATGAGTGATTTTGGTCTTGGCGATATTTGGCGATTACAACACCCAAACTCAAGAGAATACTCATTCTTCTCACCAGTTCACCACTCATACTCACGCATTGACTTCTTCCTCAATTCAATCATATCTAATATTTCAGACTCGAAAATCCATCCTATCATTATTAGCGACCATGCTCCCATAACATTTATATGGAACAGAGTTACCCTACATAAACCTATCACTAGATGGCGCTTCAATACATCTCTTCTCAAAGACCCTCAGTTTGACAGTCTTATTAAAAAAGAGTGGGCATCCTTCTTACAAATAAATGATTCCCCAGAGTCATCACCAACCCTTCTGTGGGAAACATGGAAAGCAGTTTTAAGAGGAATAATCATTTCATTCTCCGTTTACAAAAAAAGAAAGAAGAACAACAAGAAGCTGAACTGGAACAACAAATCAACCGACTCGAAACCATTAATGCAAGTAACCCAACAACGGAAACCCAGAACGAATTAAGAAAGTACAAATTCCAAATAAATGAAATTATAAATAATAAAACTCAATTCCTCATACACAGACTTAGACAAGAACATTTTCACCATAGCAATAAATCCGGTAAATATTTGGCAAATCAAATTAAACGAAATAAAGAAAAGACAACAATCTCAATCATCAAGGACTCTGCAGGGAAGCCCACAAATTCACCCGATGAAATAAATAAAATCTTCAGAAGTTTTTATGGCAATCTATATTCATCTAAAAATAACCCAAATCAAGAAGACATCAACTCATTTCTCAACAGCATTGATCTACCACAGCTTAACAAAGAACAAATCAACATACTTGACTCACCCTTAACACAGGACGAACTTTTTACTGCACTCAATCTTATGCCCAATAACAAAGCACCAGGTCCCGATGGCTTCCCTGCTGAGTTCTATAAACACTTCTGGTTCATTCTAGCTCCACTCTTTAACAAAATGTTAACTGAAATAAAACAAAATTTGCAATTTCCAGCCAACATGAACACAGCCAGTATATCACTCCTTCTCAAACCAAACAAAGATCCAACTCTTCCTTCTAGTTACCATCCCATTTCTCTTCTCAATGTAGATATTAAAATCATCACTAAGGCACTAACTCACAGATTGGACAAAGTCACTCCATCCATAATTCATCCAGATCAAACCGGCTTTATCAAAGGTAGACATTCATCCACTAACACACGCAGACTGTTTAATTTAATCAATTACTCATCATTACAACAAACTGGTACCATCATAGCCTCCCTAGATGCAGAAAAAGCTTTCGACAGAGTAAACTGGGCATTTCTCACAAGCACATTAAAGGATGCCCACTCTCTCCCTCACTATTCACCATTTTCATTGAACCGTTAGCTGCAGCCATTCGTCAGAATATCTACATAAAAGGAATTCAAACACTCAACACCCATCACAAGATTAGTCTCTATGCAGATGATATATTGCTCTTCCTACAAAACCCCTACTCATCACTACAGGAAACTATTAAAGTCATGGAATCATTCTCCAATATCTCCAACTACTCCATTAACTGGAGTAAATCATCCATCCTTCCATTAGATAGTAACAGTTGTGATGGGGCAGCCCATACACCACCTATCCCTTTTTGCACAGGTGCCATCACGTATTTGGGAATACATATTTCCCCCAGGCTGTCAGAGCTGTTCACACTCAACTTCACTCCATTACTTAAAACAATAAATGACGACCTCCTCCGCTGGATGAACCTATCATTATCACTCATGGGCAGAATAGCTACAGTTAAAATGACAATACTTCCTAAAATAAATTACCTATTCACAATGATACCATCTCAACCCACTCACTCCTGGTTCAAATCACTTGACTCAATCATTACTAAATTCTACTGGAAAAATAAAACACCAAGAATTAAACTGGCCATTCTACAAAAACCAAAAACACAAGGAGTACTTGAAGCTCCACATTTTTTTCACTACTCTCTAGCAAATAAACTTCAATACATTCTTAAATGGATCCACCCCAACCAATCAGACAACACATGGTTAGATATAGAACAGACAGTTTGTAAGGACATTCAGATTTCTGACCTACCATTTTTAAGCCAATCTATCAAATGCCATCCTTGTTTCAAAACACTAACAGTAGCAGAAACTCTGACAGCCTGGTGGAAATTCCACAAAATCACCAACATCACTTTTGCACCTTCAAATTTTACTCCCATATGGAACAATCTTGATTTTCTAAGTCACAAGACACCTCTTAATCTCCACACATGGTCCGCTAAAGGCATCACTCATCTGAAACACATCTTCAATAATAACACCATGGTTTCATTCCCCCACTTGGTTCAGAAGTACGGCATCAGGAGCAATCAATTTTTGGAATATCTGCAACTCAAATCATCCGTTCAATCCAAACTTACCACTAAGGCCACTAACCTAGAACTACCCCCC